ACCTGGGAATGCAAGTATCAGGTTCTGGATCTCCAACCTGAACCAATGCCGTAAGACTTCCGTTCGTAGAACACTTTACATTTCACTTTGTTTTCACACAATATAAAGGTTCAATGACTACTTGTACTAGCTCACCAAATGTTTATCATCTAGAAAGTTTTACAGTGTTATATAAAGGCTTTTATCTCAAAATAAAAATTATGAGGAGTAAACATAACTTTTTAATATCATGTCATGGGAAATATTTTAAAAGTAATACTCAGGCTTAGTTTTCAGAAAGCAGTTTGTTTTCATTGAAATACTGAGGTCCCCTGTTGCCCCCAGGGGTAGGTTCCAAGACCCCCAGCAGATGCCTGAAACCACGGACCGCACCGAATCCTATTTATACTATGTTTTCCCTGTACAAACATACCAATTGCAAAGTTTAATGCCTTTTCCTTCTAAGCTAAGAACTTACCACCCTCTGTAGCTGTGACTTTTGCAGTCTGAGATGTAACCGCAAAGCTAGCATGTATTTCTTTATCCTTTTCACAATTTAATGGATGAAAGAATCGGTCTTAATGTAGGTCCTGAGTAACTACAGCATATGATTTTTCCCTTGCCTAGTTCCGTTGAGAACGTGCGCCTTTCCCCTTGACAGAAGCACTTTGTGACTCTCCTGTGGCACGTCCGAATTGCCAGCATCAGTGCTCTTGCGCGTTGGGGCCATGAGCAGGAGAAACAAGGGTGGCCGAACACAAGCACGAAGGTGCCCAGGCAGTCCATCCGGTGGCAGACACAGCTACCGGGGGACTAACCGGCAGGTGGGGCACGCAGCGTGGAGACGCGGACAGAGAAATGGTCCATGTCCCGGGCGGGAAGGCGCGGGGCCGGAAATGTGCATTGCTTGCTTCTGGAATTCTCCATGTAATGTTTTTGGACTGCAGTTGGCCACGAGTAACTGGAACCATGAAAAACAAAACTGAGCACAAGGTGGACCACTGTGACACCATTGATATGCTTTTCTGTGCATCTTTGCGTGAAGTGTTCATTGATTAACTGTTAAACTTGCGCAATTTTCTAAGGAAGTTGTTTATTCAAAGACAGTATGAAAAATGTTTGAACTTTTATTTCTGGGTTATATCTACAAGGCTTTTATTTTTTGGTATAAAGAGCAACTCTTCACATGTTCACTTGAGCACATACAGACATATTATCATCTATTCTCTCATTTAAAAAAAACAAACAAAACCCAAGAGCTACCTCATATCCACCATTGCTATCAGCTATATATGCCAAAAATATTCCCTGCAGTAGTTTTCTTAAGTCAGGTATTCTGAGTAGAACCAATATTTTTAATGAAAGTGGGAGTAGGCAAGAAATTAAGTTTTTATTCACCAGCTCAGCAGCACTGCTAGCGCATACCTCCTCGCAGAATCACAGAGATGAGGAACTTGTCTAGAACTGATGAAATAAAACTTTAAAACATCCCACTCGTATTGGGAAGGGAGGCAGAATGGGAGAAGAGGGTGACAAGTTGATAATAATGAGAATAGGAAAAGGAAAAAGGAAAGGAAATGAAGAATAAAAGAAAAAGGTGCAAGAGAAATGAAAGAGAGAAACGTGGAGACTATATTCATTCATTTGCAAGTATTGACTTCGTGCCCAGTTTGTGAGGCTCTGGAAATTTTAAACAAAATCAAACTAGTCCTTTTGCTCTTCTGATGGATAAAATTGTCATCCCACCCATTAGACTGATGGAAAAGCGGATGAAACAAAAAGTTGACCTAGAATGGAGAGAAAGGATGGACCCTAGGTACAAGCAGGGATGTACAAGGACTGGACGCCTAAAGAGGAGAGATGGAAGATTCACTTCTACTCACTCCTTCCCATGGCACCAAGCTACACCTGTCTCTCCTCTTCTGCACCTACACAGCACCTGTGTTTTGTTTCTGGCATCTTTTCTGATCCCGTTCTGGATAGTGACTCTCTGGGCACGCTGAGGACCATGCAACCATCCACCTATAAGGAAGAAATGTTTATTAGTCTTTTCCCACGTGCCAGGCATGGTGGCAGACGTGGGAATGCAGTGGTGAACGAAGCACTATCTTTGCCTTCTGAGTACTTCACAGTCTTCCTGTGCACGGGGTCAAGTAAACGGGTAAACAGTGATCCAGGGGTGATAAATGTCAGCTAAGTGTGCAGATCCCGTAAAGTTTTCGGGAGGAAGGGAAAGCCACATGGACATTTCCCTTCTTAGCGCTTCTTTTCTGAAACTTCCATCAGAATAAAACCATTTGGTAAAAACCTTTAATTTGCTTCACAGTTAAAAAAAAAAAAAATTTTTTTTTTTTCAATTTTCGTTTGATTCGAAGGTTAGCAAATTTTAGATGTCTTGGACCTGGTTTTTCCATGGTGGATTGCTTCAGGTGAGTTCCTGATTATACTTTAAAAATATGTATTAAAAATTAACCCCTCCCCCCACAGTTCATACCCATTTTTACAAGTTTAAAGTTACAAAAAGAAAACACAGGATTTTTCTGTTACGTGTTTTTGCTATCCATTTTGTACATAAATGCGTGTAGGCAGTACACTGTTTCAACTTAATGTAAAACAGATCCCCTTAAAGCAATTTAACTCGTGTGTGTGTTTAAAATCTGTGTATGTACACCAATCTAGTTCCTGATTTGAAACTCCAGTTTTATCAGACTTGGGAGGAACGGTGCCAACTCCTGATGGGCTGCACTAGGTTTCATGGAAAAGCTCTTTGGAGCAGGGGAAGTCTCGCAGGACCCGATGCTTTCTTCTACTTCATGTCTTCCATATAAACCTGATTTGGAGAAATCCATCGTTGCTGCTCTTCTCTTTGCAGAGACGTCCCAACAGGTCAGCGTTTGCGCCCTGCACTGGCCTGCCTCCGGCCCGTCGTGGCCACCCCTGCCGCCTCTTGCCGGCCTCTGTCCTGTCGTGCCCTCGCCTCCCACCTGCAGCCCTCACCGCTGCCCGGGGGTCCAGTTGTTCATTCTCAGGCTCTGCTTGGATGTCTAAAAGGCCATTCTGAATTTAACAGAACTTTGCAACAGAACCGTGTGACTTCCTCCCAACTCCCAGCAATGAACCTGTTCCTTTTCAGCCGCCTTTTTTTTTTTTTAAATTTGTACACAAGCTTAATAAAGAATTTCCTTTGGCAAAGGCAAGGAAGTTACAGGGGTGCCAGCGGCGTGTTGTCTGGTTCGGGCTTGTCATCAGTGCCGTGGGTGCCGGGAGCCTCAGCCAAGCACTCTGCCTGGCCTTGGTCTAGCGCACCAGCTTCTTGCTCCGACCGCGAGAGCCTCCGTGCCGCGTCGTGCCCGGTTGTGCGCCCTGAGCCTAGCTCTGGATCTGCGGACCTGGCTGCGGTGCTCCGAAGTCGTCCAGCCTCCTGCTGCGCCCCTGTCCTGCCTTGAGACTCAGACTCTGGGGGTTTTCCCTCTGCAGCCACAGACCAGGTGGCACTGCTTTCCTTTCTCTGAGAATTGAATGGTAACTGCAGCCTTCTAGTTCAGGCCTTGAACTTGAGCCTTGACTCCTTTCATTCCCCGAGAGCAGCCCATCAGTCAAGCTGTCGGCTGCCCTTCTCCCCACTGCTCCCGCTACCAGAAGCCAAGCCATCGTCATCTCTTGCCTGGACTGTTGCCCTGGCCACCTAACTGTTCCCTCTGCTGCCGTCCTTGTCTTGCTGTAGTCCATTCTCTACACAACCGCCAGAGTGATCCTTTCACAGTAGAAATCAGATCCGTTCTCTCCTGGGCTGAGAATCAACCCAGGGGGTTTCCGTTACTCAGAATAACGTCCAAATAGGGCTGTAAGTTCTGTATGATCTACCGGCACTCCGATGTCCTGTGCTGCGCCTCTGCTTACCTCCTCTGCTTGGACCACACTCATCTTCCTGCTGTTACCCTTCCCGCAGCACTTTTCCACCCCAGGGCCTTTGCCCTTGCTCTTTGTCCTGCCGTGAAGTTTTATCACCTAGATGTGTACATGTTCATTTGCACAGTTCCTTCAGGCCTCTGCCGAAATGTCACTTTCTCCTAAGAGCTTTCCTGAGCACGTTGTCCTCTGTCCCTGTACCTCTTTCTTCCTTAGCATTTATTCACGTGTGACATGTTTCTGTCATCGAGTTTCATCTGTCTCCCCCTTAGAACTTAAGCTCCATTAAGGCAGATTTTTTTTTTCCACTGCTCTGTCCCCAGCACTGGCCTGAGGCATTGACGTGTGGCTAGGACCAGCATTTTCTTGTTCAAAGTCCAGTGCTCCTTCCATGATTCTGTGTGGCCTTCCATAGGTTTTCATTTCCTTAAACTCAGATTTCCTTAAACAAGATTGCATCTTGTATTTCTTTTGTCCATTCCGCCCCGCCCCAGGGCAGGGGACCCTGCCGTGTGCTCAGCGAGGACTAGTGCCTAGTCCTCGTGCCTAGTGACTGCCGTGGCTGGACTGAGTGACGTCCTGTGCTCGCTGTGGTCTGTCATCCCAGGATAGAAACTCAGTCAGAGTGCCCTTCACTCTTTCTGGGACTTAAAGACAGGCTGCTGTCTGTTGCCCATCAGATACACAGTGGCCTTTGGAGACCGCAGGCAGTTTCCATGCATCGCATGGTAGGAGTCCACTTCTCAGTAAATAGACTGTGTTCTGAATTTTGAACATTTCATGTAGCTGCGTAACTTGACGGTACAGGAAGGGACTGAAATGCGGAGGCCTGGTGCCGGCTGAATGTCCGACATTTTTCACAGGATGTTGGTATTGCTGTGGTTGATCACCCATGTTCTCAAGGAAAGTATGTCCTGGGTTTGTTCTTTTGCAAGAAAAAAGAGCATCCAGGTTTGGCTTGATCTTATCTTTCCAAAGGTGCTGCTAAAATGCCCCTACATTTTGTTTTGAAAATTTTGTTCCCTTGCCTATGAAGTGTCCCAGGTGACTCTGGTAATCAATCCTGATTGTCCCTCTTTGTTTATTTTCTTTCTTCTTTTTTCCCCCCACAGGTAATCTGCAATTCTTTCACCATCTGTAATGCAGAGATGCAGGAAGTTGGTGTTGGCCTGTATCCTAGGTATGGTGGATGGTGTTTCATTTACTGGAAGAAACAACTGTAATTCCTACCCAGCCCTCCAGCCTTTTGGAGGTGGTTAGAAAGTCTGTTGCAGCAGCTAGCTCAAGAGCCAATCTTGGAACCTGATTATGAATGAAAAGAAAAGGGAAAATGTTAAGTTTAAAGAAAACAAATGTTGTAACCCCACTTATATGATGTGGCAGCAATTTTCCACCGGTGTACCTCAAGAATTTTTGAAACATGCAGTATCTGACTATTCCTCAGGGTCACTGACCTCTCTTCCCTCAGAGTGTCCTCTAAAAAAATGACAACTGCCAACATAACAGTAGCCATCTGGAGTGAATGAATCAAACTTACACCTATTTTTTTTTTTGGTCAGAGCACCAAAAAATATATTTTTTGGTGTGCCACAGAATTTTAATAATTAGCTTCCATGTGTCACGAGATGAAAAAGTAGGAAATCACCGTGCTGTGGTATTATCGGAGAGGCAGATCTCAGACCTAAATTCTTGCTCTCAGGAACTGTGGGTTAGAAGTTGGGCCCTGCGGGTGCTATCAAACCATCAGGACGAGGTCCGGTTATTGCCCTCCCCGGCCCCGATCTTACTCCCTGGTCTCACCCCCTGGTCTCCTAGGCTGAAGCGTTTAGTTATTTCACCAGACTCACGGGGCTGCGACACTGGGGTTCACTGTGTCTTTTGACTTAGCCTACGCCAGCCCCATTGCCCCAGGAGGCCAGAGCACCTGCTGCCTCTGAAGTGACCTTTGTCACTGAGCTACTAGACGGTCCTTCCGCAGCCTCTCCAGTCGCTCTTGGTTGCATTTTGCTTCCATGTCATTAGGGTCCAAATACAAATAGAGTCTTTTTATAACTAATTGTGAATCTGGGAATTCCTCCTCTTCTCCCACACCTCGTAAGTGTCATAAACTACAGGCCCATTGGTATCGGGTCGGTCCTCAAAAGGCAAGTACGTAGGTGTTTCGGCATCGGCACGTGGGCTCTGAGTTCAGACTACCTGGTTCAAGTTCAGTCACCAGCTACGAGTTGTGTGTCCCTGGGCGAGTCATTTAAGGTCCATGTCATCAGTTTCTTTATCAGTAAATGATCCTCATAAGATTATCATGATGATTAAATTTGACAAACGTGCTCAACTGCTAGGAAGTGCTTCCTACATAGTCAATGCTCACTCCCAGCTATTCTCATTATTCTCAAATATGGAGGCAGCTTAAATCCATTCCCTTTCCCACATAGTAAAAAATGCACCTGCAAGGTGATACAGTCACTGGGCCATGGCCCAGAATGCACGAGGATCTAGTTAGCAGGTAGCCTTAGCTTTGCATTTAAGAGGAAGTGCTCCTAATTATTCTTCATCGAAGCTGTGGGTATTCCAGCGGAGGTGGGCGCCCCTCCAGGGGTGCTCAGCAAATGAGGGCCCCGTGCGAAAGGTCAGGGGCGTGCTGGCTGCATGATTGCTGCTGCATCCCATTATCTCTCAGCGATTCTTTCTTTACAAGATGGGAAAGTTTCTTTTCCCGCTTCCTGTTGGGTTTTATTGCCTGGTCTCTAATGAGACAACTACCTCCTCCCCACCTCAACCCTAAAAGGGAATCAAAAAATGTCTCTAGTCACAAACTTCCCAGTTCGCCTCCACCTTGGGGAGCGTTTCAGTTCCTATGAAGTGTGCTCATGACATGCCCATGAATGCCCCGCGGGCTCGGCCCCTGGTGCACTGTGAGCCTTGCCTGCCCCCCGCTGCCCCGCTCAAGTGTCTCTTGCCCGCTGCATTCATTAAATTTAGATGTTTGACTCTCTCTGCTGAGCCATGATGGTCTTCCTCTTTATTTTTTTTCTTTCCTCTAGTATGTCTTTGCTCAATCACAGCTGTGACCCCAACTGTTCCATTGTGTTCAACGGGCCGCACCTCCTACTGCGTGCTGTCCGCGACATCGAGGCCGGAGAGGAGGTAAGGAACCCGTGGTCCCCTCCTTTCCCATCAAAGACCCTCTCAGTGTGGCCCGTCCCTAAAACCAGTGGTGCCTGAGGGACAGCTTTTCATTGTCCTTCTGCCAGAGAGAAACCATGTAATACCTCAACCCCGCAACCGACTTACCACTGTGACTTCTCCCAGTTTATAGAGGCACTAACTTTTTCTTAGAACCACCGTCTTTCTGGACACTGACGGCTCCTACTGTATGCGTGTGAGAGAGGGGTGTGTGGGACAGTGCACGTTGTTGGCACATAGGACAGTTCAGGGGCCTCTCACGTTCCCGAGGCTGGTCACCGCCCTCCCATGGGATGAGATTCCAGGGACTTCCTTGCTCCCAAGGCCACTAATCACATTTTGACAGTGACTCGTTTTTACCTTTTCATTAAGAAAGCAAACAAGCTTTCAGTTGTCATTGGGCCTTTGCAAACCAATGGGCGCATCTGGGCAACGGTTCCGGCAGAGGGGAGAAGGGTCGGGGCCAGGGAGCGCGACCTCCTGCAGCGCGCCGGCCTTGACCCTTCCAGGTCTGCACGCGGCCAAGCCTGCCCCTTTGAGGGGGACCTTCTCAGAAGTCCAGGGTCTCCAGACGGGCTGCCAACCTGAGCCTGCGCAGGGTCCGCACGATTGCTGCCCTGAGTTCTGGGTTACAGATACTTAAACTTCGTAGGCCCCTTTCCTTCTGCCTTCCAATTTACTGAAGTGGATATTTATTGCAAGGAAAACAGTATCATAAGATTTTATTGCATTTATGCAGCACTCAGCCAGTAAAACCTAAACTCAGAGGTACCATATTTTATGTAGACAAGGATTTGGCCTTGATAAGACTCCCTCCAAACTGATTTTGAATCGAATAAGCTGTCTCTTATACAGCCACTTACTGAATTTCCACTTTTCAAGACTAGATAGATGAGATATCTGTCAACAATTTAGGGAACAGAGATTTTTTTTTTCTGGGGCCTTACGTGAGGTCAAGGCAGGTAAGGACAGGAACTGCTACCCATTTCAGCACGTTAGTTTCAGAGCTGAGCAATGGCTGCTGCTATTGTTAATCACCATTATGACGTGATGAAGAGAGTGTTGTTTTAGTAAATTGAAAAAAACACATGTTACTTGATAAGCAAACAAAAAACACTATTAGAAATGATTGCAATTTTCAGAAACAACAAAGGAATTTTCTTACATCTTGTCTTCCAGGCTTGGTTTTCATTTAGTTACAAACATCCCTTGTCTTTTGGTGCTTATTTCACTTGTTCACGCCCTTCTCTTTCCCTGCGTGGAGTGAGGGGCAAACTCTCCTGTCACCTGACACAAAATGGATCTGCCCAGCGTCACTCCCTGCAGCCGCTGCTCTTCTCCATGGTGGCACTTGTCAAAGCAGCTTCTCACCAAAGAGGACTCTCCCCAGAGTCCTTCTTAGACAGACGGGCCCAGGAAATATTTTCCCATCCCATTGCACATCTTGGTGCATGACGCTTTCTCTGCTCGTGCGAAATGTGTGAACATTGTGATGTTACCTGAAGACCTAACCCTTGAAGTGGGCTCCTGGGCCCAGGAGGACCTTGAGACGCCCCCGAAGTGTGCCTTCTCACCTATGACTTTCACCATCCGAGCCAGGGCGTAGATACTGTATTTGAAAGGGTCCAAGGAAGTCCGTCTAAGAGCCTCCATCAGCGATTGCATCCTGACATTAAATTCTGCCTATTTGGAAATCTTTCTTTTTGTTTTTAAAATTTATTTATTTTCAGAGAGAGGGGAAAGGAGGGAGAAGGAGAGAAAGAGAAATATCACTATGTGAGAGAAACATCAGTTGGTTGCCTCTTACATGCCCCTAACCAGGGTCCCAGCCCTGCCCTCACCCCCAACTGGGAACTGAACAGGTGGCCTTTGGGTTCGTGGACTCATGCTCAACCCGCTGAGCCACATCAGCCAGGGTGGAAATTTTTCCACTTTGTTTTTCAGTCTAGTCATGAGTAAGACAACAGTCTCCTAATTGCAAAGATACCAGATCTGGTTGACCCTGAATTGCATGAGGCAGCTCTAGAATTGATTAGCATTTAGGAGCAGTCTGGCCACATCATCTGCTGTCCATCTGATTGCCAGGATTGTTTCGGCTTCTCTGATTACCAATGATCATGGAATTTATTAACCAAACCTTAGTAATACTGGACGTATAACAGCTCTTGGTATGTCACTGTCCAGTGAATGAAAGGTAAGGTGTAAAAGTATCTCGCGTTTATGATCCCAGTTCTTTAAAATAAATATATGTGCTCACCACATAACAAAGGTCAGAAGGTACTGCAAGAAAAATTTTACATGTGATTCTTCAGCTGGAGACTGAGTGGTATCTTCTCGCTCATGCTTTTTGGTGTGTAATAAAAATAGATTTTACTTTAGTAATTAGCAGTAATGAGCATTTGTGAAAGACAGCGAGCACAGCAGCTCCATGGCCTCTCTTCTCTCTGGCCTCTGCAGCTCACCATCTGCTACCTGGACATGCTGATGACCAGCGAGGAGCGTCGGAAGCAGCTGAGGGACCAGTACTGCTTCGACTGTGACTGTGTCCGATGCCAAACCCAGGACAAGGTACGTTGTGTGGAACCAGCTTGAAGGTAACTTACATTCCAGTGATGTTCCTGAGAACTCTGCCTTTATTTCATTGATCCGAAAGTAAATGACCTTCAGCGCATAGTAGGAAACAGAAGTAAATAAAATATATGCATAGTGCTGCATATATTTCATTTACTGGAATTTTTATCACCAGCCAAGCAATAAGAGGTTTAATCTCAGGTAAGGACCCATGGAGCTCAGAGTCTGGAGGGAACGTGGGCCTTAAACATGTCTCAATCCCAGACCTCTGGGCTAAATCAGTGTACCTCCTCTGTGTCACAGCTTCCTGTAACCTCTGCTGCCAGCTCAGACAGAGAGAGGTGGCCGGTTTCACGGCAGAAGAAAGGCCCAGGAACTCATTCTAACGATGTAGGAATCAGTGAATTTGCTTAATTTTTTTATACAAAAGAACTTTTAGAAGTAGATTAAATGGGAAACGTTAGATACACTGCTGACAGCTTCCCAAGATCCCATCTGCTTTATGTGAGACTTTTGCCCCTCGAAAGCATAGCAGGAACTGCAGGGGAGCCCCCGCCCCTCCCCCCGGCTAGCCCAAGTGTCCGGCATCAGCCAGCTTCCCAGCCACATCCTTGCTCGGGAATGGGAAGGCTTCCAGGCTTAGCGCCTCTTACGTGACACTTATGGGGAAGACCCTCAAAAATTCCTTGAACGAGTGTTTGTATTTATTAAAGTTGGGGTCGTGCTCACTTTTGGGTTATGGTTATGGTTGCAGTGTGGCTAGAACAGAGTACTAGGCAGGGCCTCCGCTGCAGACGCCGCCGCTGACGTTGGTAGGCGTGGTGTGCTTGTCCCGAGAACTGTGGAGCATCTGCAGGCCAAGACAGGGGCAGCTCCTTGCAGGTCTCACCCCTGCCCCGGAGTCCTCTGTCCTGCTCCTCAGCAGTCCCTCGCATGCACCTTTTGTCCCCATGGATGCCTGCTGCCTCCAGCCCTCACTCAGTGTGTGCAAGCTCTAGACCCGGAGAAAGAAGAGGTTTATTGCCTTTTTATTAAAGCAAAGAACAAAGGGAAACCCTCCCAGGGGTTTCCGCCTACATCTTACTGTTCAGAACTGTCTCACATGATGACTTTTAGCTGCGAAAGAGGCGACGAAGCTGCATTTTCGCCTTTTAGCCTTTGCACTAGAGGAAGACGAGGCAGAACAAGATTGTGAATGGCTTTTGGTCAGCCCATCTGCAGCATGTCCCAAGTCTACTGAGAACATTTCTTCCTTGTCTGAGCTAACAGTTTGTCCAATGCTGTATTAGGATACTACAGAAAAAGAGAACTAACGGGGTACGCACATGTATGTGCGTGTGTATGATTCCAGCCCTGTCGCCTCACTCTATATACTGTATGTGTGTGTGTGCGCATGTGCGTGCGCCCGCACTATATTCAGCCATAAAAAACAAGGAAGCCTGCCATTTGCCATGACACGGATGGACCTTGGGGGCCTTATGCTAAGGGAAGTGAGTCAGAGAAAGACAAACACTTGTATGTAATACAAGAGAATTCAGCGAGATGGTCTTAGCGATATAAATATCCTTTCTGAAACCTCTATGCTGTTGATTTGCTTTGGAGGGGGAAAAGTGAATTCAGCTTAGTGTACTCCCAAAAGATCATAAATTCTAAAGTAGTGCAGTCAAAAATAAATTTACCTCAGTTCATAGATTTTGAGTTCTCAGGCTTATTTTTCTGCTTTTCTTGGAACCTGTAAAACTCAACAGGTTTCTACATCACACACTGTTGGTTACAGGCCTTCGTGCCCATATTACTGGCCTGGTGTGTTCTCAAGCTTCCGGAAGGCAAGCAGACTTTTCATAGTGGGTGTTATTTGCATGTGTGGAGTTCGTTGTCATTTGTAATCAGCAGCAGCTTAACTTTTGGAAGAAATAAAAATGACCTCCTAACGAAGCTTTGGAAAGATTTGCCTTCTTCTGTGGCTGGCCCAGGTCAGAATCCAAGGCAACGGAAGCAGAATCCAAGGACCAAACGGGGATTGATTGTTTCCACACACTGTGGGGAGGACCTGGCGTGCTTCTTTGGGTGGCACATGTTTTATTGTTTAAAAAAAAAAAAAAAGCCATATTTACTTCCCATAACAATTTTTTTTTTCCTAGAGCCTGTCACATTCTATCCTTCTTGTAAAAGTGTCTACTGATTTACTCACAGCCCGGTTGCCTCACTGCTCGCCCTAGCTGGTCACCTGGCCTTCAGTTTCTTCCCTGTCCTTCCTCTCACCCACTGTTTTACAATGTTTTCCTAAATGCCGCTGTTTCCGTGGCAGAAGCTCTAAACAGAAGTGCTTAGCATTAGCTGTAGCCTTTGGGATAAATTTCAGACTCTTACCTCTGCATTCAGTGTCTTGCAAAGTGTTAACCCATGATCTAACTATTCAGTACCTTTGTCTCTTCTCTTGTTTATTTTCTTTTCTCCTCTTCTCTTTGCTCATCTCTTATTTTTCCACTTGTTTTATCTAATGATGCCCTTGTCCCACCCAGAAGATTCAGACGTGGCTAAGGGCCCACATGCACACACATTGACACGTCTGTGCAGCGGTGGCCAAAAGTTGTTCATATAGAAAAAAGATATTACTTAAGAGATAGATTGTAAGTAAGGATCCAAAATAAACACAAAATAATAATAATAAGAGAAATAATACAAGTGAGTAATACAGTAATAAATAAGAGAAACTGTTTCGCATACTCACTGTAAACCTACTTTTGCCCACACCTGCATAATACAACAGCAATAAATTTTATAATGATTTGTGAAATACCAGTGCCAAGAAATAAGATGAAAGCAAGTCAGTACCCAGAATGCATGCCACATGACTGTATATACAAGGAAGAAAGAAAAAATTGGCTCTAAATTTCCCAGCAGCCCAAGCTGAAAGACTGATTGCAAAGTCTGCACATGAGTCCCGCAGGCGAAGCACCGCGTGTCCCGCCACGAGGCCGGAGCGCCCCTCGGGGTGCAACTGAGCCTGAGCGGCCAACGTGCCCAGCAGGACTCCCCGGCAGTTTAAATAGCTGATTTTTATAATTTTTATAATCGCTCAACGTGGCTGCTTGATGTATTTTCAAATTATAACTTAATGAAAGAAGTAATAAAAAGGGTTAAAAAAATGTAATCTAGGTTCTCATCTCTCTGATGGTTTGCTTCACCCCAAGAATAAAACCTAGACTATCCAGAAGAAAGCAAGGACTGCCTATCTTTTGTAACCTGTCATTCATGTTATTTCTTGCAGTCTTTAAATCTTTTATTTTAATTTTTGTTAAGGTGGTCCATGTATGCGATTTGAAAAGTCAAGGTACTAAGACCCAGCTGAAAACCCATGAGCACACGTTCCTTCCGCTTCTGCCCCGGCCTCCCTCCCCCAACTGGCTCCACATTTATTCCATGTTTCCCCAAAACCCCTTAAATCGTGTCCTAGGGAAGTCTTTTTCTATTGAGTTGGTTTAGTGACTATTTTTTTTTTATGTCCAGGATTTCCAATTCGCTTTTCCCCCTGCGTCTCTGGGCTTATGTTTTATTTCCATCCATTTCTGGTTCATCGCTTCTCACTCACCGCTAATGCATGCCACTCTGTCACTTGCGTATGTTTTGAGCGTCCTGATCCCGTTCGTGTTAGGCCTCGGTCAGCCAGTGCTGCAGTTTATTTTACCGGACTGAAGTGATGTTCCGATTGTTGGTTTTTGTTGCTTATCGTCCTCAGCACTGCATTTCACTTCAGCGTTTTAGAGTTTGGAACAGCAGGGTAGTTTTTTAGCTTTTTCCTTTGCTCCTTCCTCCTTCCATGTGCACACCACCCTCGCCCAGTCACTTTGTACTTGCCTCCCCCGGCCCCTCAGGCCCCAGTTCAGAAACGGCGTTTGGAGCTGTTGCATCCCAGTGACGTGGAGGCTGTTGTGGATCCCACTGAGTAAGTGGTGGGCACCTTGGCTCTGACTCCGTTGTCTCGCCTTTCCAGGACCCCAGCTCCCTAAAAGTATTTACCTCAAGGGAACAGGTCATGAGCCCTTTATTTTTAACAGCCTTTTTAAAAAATAAACAAGGGCGCCTCACCCCATCCCCTGGCTTTAAGTTGTAAAGCTGGCGCTACTCACCTTTTTCATGTGGAGCATTTTTTTCTCTTTTAGTCACTGAACCCACCTCTGTGCCTGCTTCCAGCCTGAGGTCCTCGCTCCTGCTTAGCTTATTGCTTTGCATTGCGGTTCTATTTTTGGTCCAGGGAGATGTTTATCTTGTTTTCTGACCTCGTAAAGCTATTTTTTGTTTCTCTTTTAATATTTCCCTTCCCATTGCTCTGGGTTTGCAGTGCAGGGAGCACTTCAAAGTCTGAACTGACAGCATCTTGACTGGAAGTCTGTAGTTTTCTTGCCAAGGACACAGGTAAGAATTGAAGCCTTTGGAGGCAAAGGAAAATGTGAGGATAAACAGTGATCTAATTCTCCTGAGCGCTTCCAGGCACACGTGCCCCTTTCTCTCAGGACCTGCCCGTCTGTGGCGCAGGGATACGTATCTTCTTTTATCACGGGGCCTTCGAAGGAGAGAGTTGCATGGAGTCACTCAGAAAGCAGTTTATTAAGTGACTCTGCGGGGGGAAAGCCCTAACAAGCTTCTCTTTCCCTGATGCGCCAATTCTAAGTCCACTTCCTCCTCTTCGTTTCTGTGGAAACAAAGCAGTGTCAATTATTGTCTTTGCTAATTATTTCAGTTTCTTTTCTGAGACCCTCTTTTGTAACGTGGAGCCCTTTGATCCCTGCTGAGACCCCCCACAACATCTGGGAGCGAGGGAGCCCGGCAGCCGCCCAGCGTCCTTCAGAGAGAGGGCCTGGGCCAGCGCTGCGGGAGGCCTGCCGCGGGCCCTGCCCGTGCGGCCCCTCCATCGCGCTGTCCCCAGCCCGCTGTGCACCTGGGGACAGGACGCAGGACTGGGCCAAAGGAAGAAACGATGACTGTCTGAAGGAGGA